TAAGCAATTTTCACATATTATATGAGCAAGGGTCACATTACAATTCTGTTGCTTATCATTGAATTTGACATTTAGTGGACTGTATATTTTTCCTGTTTATTTCATCGGTTTACGTATGTTTGCATATGTATGTATGAATGTGTTATATTTCTAAAATCCTATCTCTATTGCGGCAGAGTTTCATGTTCATATTTTTATGAACATTCTGCCAGGAGCCAAAATTGTGTTGTTTTAACATATTAGCCAAATGTGATTGTTGACATTTTACTTAATTATGATTATGTCTAACTGGTAGTTCAAATGGAACAGCCACAACAGTTCTTCTTTGATCTTTGATCCTATATATAAACTAACGATGATTAACCCTATTATGAAAACTAAAGTTAGCGAAGCATGACCACTAACGTGATGAAAATTGATACCCTTCAATTTGATATTTTCTTTTTTGAGAAATTCTATTTGCTGTTTGAGCGTTAGGATATCTTTGGTGTTGTTTATTAAGGTCAAATCAAAAGGTTTAATTCGCAGTTCTGAAATATCTTCAATGTCTTTTACCCAAGAAGAAGATAGCAATTCTTTATTGATCTCGGATTGTACGTGATGAGATGCTGTTAAAGTTACTCCTTCATGTCGAGCTGTACATCCTTCTCTTATTGTGATATTGCCTTGATTAGGGATTTCCATTCGCATTTGTTGGTTGTTATCACATTCTAGATGTATTGTTGATTTGCTAAACAGCTTGTAAAGCCAACGATTTTGAGAAGATAATTTAATCCAAACATTTTCATTTGTAGCGGGCTTGAATCCACATACTTCATTTTCCAACTGTTTCAATGCTGCTACTTCGCATGAATTGTCCGTAGCTGACTTCCAAGCCCAGTTCCCTGGACATTGATAATATCTTCCAAGTTTGTTAAACACTTATCTAGATCGACTTGGTTTATCAATACATATTAATTTAAATCAAACTTGTATACTAAATATTCTGCTTTTATATCAGGGATAATCATGTTCCCTTTGTATTTTATTGGCAGTGGATTTAATTTGTATGCATCTGACGGTTCATATGATATTAAGGGAATTTCTATGTTTATGACTAGTCGTGAATCGACAATTAACCCTTTAGCAGTCATCGACTTATAGATTTCTTTTAATTCATTACCGAACTGTTTTCCAGGTAGTACTAATTTGTGTGGCAGCTTGTTTCTGATAAGTGCAATTTCTTTATTAAGTTGTGAAGGTTTTATTAGTTTTGGATTTATGCGACCACGATTTATGTCAATTAGTAAATTGATTATCGAAGTTTGGATATCTTCACATTCGTCCATAACTATTCCTATTTGAATGGTTAATATCTGAAACATCAAGGTCATTCGCTCGGCATTTTGATCTTTAACTAGTTCATGATAAAATTTATTTAGCTGTTCATTCATTTTTTGGAAATTTTTGTTAACTTCATTGGTTGTCTTTTTTAATATATTTATTGCAGAATCAACTATTGATGTCTGTCTCTTAAACAACTTTGCGATATTCTTTTGGTTTTCAAAAATATTTTTAATATTTGATTCCATATTCTCTCGGTCGTCAGCATCCATAATTCCAAATAATATAATGTAAATTGAGCCAACAAATTCGAATGGTGCTCGTCTTTTTCTATTTTCTTGCTTCATGAACAGTTCGTTATTTGACTTAAGGCTATTATATTTATGCTTTAAAGTTGCGGTAATCATTACACAGGCCTCTTCATAATATGTCAATATTTTGCATTGATGTTCAAGTCCGTTAATAAATTCTTTTACTCCATCCATCCGATCGTAATAGGAACCTAACTCGTAATAAACGATTAAATCCCATTTTGAATTTATTATGTCTATTTTGCCGATCGGATCCAAATATATTGCGGTATTATTTCTTAGCTCAGCCACTGAAGCTCCTGTTTTAGCCGTATCATTTATGTATAATGCCTTAACTTGCATTGCTAGCATGAGCAACGTAAAGAACCACATCATCAATGTCTTCGTTCTTTTCTGCCCTCCTGGGCCCGCTGAATTTTTTGCTATTCTTGATGTCAACAGGCTTGCAGCTTGATTTGGCTCTTCCGTTTTGCTGCTGTTTGTTGTCTCTAGTGGGCACAGTTTGTGAACGGGCGTATCCCATTTTGCAATTTCAGAGTTACAACTCTGGTTTTTCCATCGCTTCCAGGATGGGTTTTTATAACTTTGCCTAATGGCCACTTTGCTGGATGACTTTCTTCATTTTTAATAATTACTATTTGACCTACTGCTAGATTGTCCTGTTTGGTTTTCCATTTCATTCGTTGTTGCAGCATTGTGACATATTCGCTTTCCCACCGTTTCCAAAAGTGTCTTTTCATTTTTTGTATTAGTTTCCACCTATCTAACGAACCCCTTTTTGTGTCATCAATTGCTTCAGGACAGTCTATTAATGGGCATCCTATTAAAAAATGCCCAGGTGTTAAAACATCTATATCGCTTTCACTATCGATCGCACATAAGGGTCGGGAATTTAGCACTGCTTCAATCTGTGATAGCAAAGTAATCATCTCTTCAAATGTCAATTTACTTTCGCCTATCACTCTTTTTAAATGATATTTCACTGATTTGACTCCAGCCTCCCAAATTCCTCCGAAGTGAATAGCTGCCGGCGGCCCAAAATGCCATTGAATTTTGTCTGCTTCTAATATGGGAGCTACTGTTGAGTTTTTCTTGATTGCCTTTATGAAATCTGAGTCTAACTTTCTACAAGCTCCGACAAAATTTGTTCCAATGTCTGAGTATATATGCTGACTCTTACCCCTTCTAGCAAAAAATCTTTTTAAAGCAGCTAGAAACGCTTCAGTTGTTAAATCACTTACTGCCTCTAAATGAATAGCCTTTGTTGCCATACATACAAATACAGCTATGTATCCTTTAAATGTTTTTATTTCTCTTCCTTTGGAACATTTCATATGTATTGGACCTGCATAGTCTACACCAACGTGTGAGAATGGAATTGACAACGACACTCGAAATTCTGGAAGATTTCCCATTATTTGTTTAGCTGCTTCCTTTCGGTAACGTATGCAGCGACTACAAGCTCGAATATTTTTTTTTTATGGAGTTCTTTAATCCAATTATCCAATAATTCCTTCTAATCGTTGCTTCCATTAACTTATTTCCTCCATGTAAGGTTGTTTTATGAACATGTTCAATAATCAATTTTGACAAATGTGATTTATTTAATATTATTGGGTGCTTCTGATCGAACTGAAGCTTTGCATTCCCTAACCTACCTCCTACGCGAAGGATTCCATTGTTATCTAAAATTGGATCTAAGCATGCAATTTTACTTGTACTGCTAATTTCTTTTTTGATTTCTAAGCTCTGTATTTCCTCTCTAAATTGTAATCTTTGCTGATATCTTATTATTCTCTGTTCAGCTTCTTTTAGGTCTGATTTTACTAAGTACGCAGGATATTTTTGTCCTCGTATTCTTTTTATAAATCGCAATATATAAGCTGCAACCCTTATTAATTTAGTTAAACTAGTATATTTTAATATTACCTCATCTAAGAAATGTGATTCTTTTGATGTTGTGACATACACTGCATCGATTTTAACGCTATTCTGTGTTGGCCATTGATGTTCTTCTCCTTGTAACCATTTGGGACCTCTCCACCATAGCTCGTGCTCCACTAGTTTGTTCGCAAATACCCCTCTGTATGCTACATCAGCTGGATTGTCCTTTGTTCCAACGTGTTGCCATATTGCAGTGGAAGCATATAATTTGATTTCTTCTACTCTCGTTTTAATGAACTTATCTTTACTTTGGGAATTCTTTATCCATGCTAACGTTATAGATGAGTCGCTCCAAGCAAATATTTTAACTTCTCTATTGATAACTGTCTTTATCCTTTGCAGCAATTTAGAAAGTAGGTGAGCCGCGCATAGCTCCAGTTTTGGCAATGTCTTCTTATTTTTAATCGGGTTCACTTTGGTTTTACCAGCAATTATCGTTATAACTGATCCAACTTTAGCATATACAACTGCCGCGTACGCTTTTTCTGACGCATCTGCGAATCCATGTAGTTCCATTTTAAAGTCGTTTTTTGTTTCAAACCATCTGGGAATTTTTATTCTTTTTATCGCTGGTACGTGCTGCATAAACTCCTGCCATTCTTTTGCCAAATTTTCGTCGAGTAACTCATCCCAGTTGAGTTTCATCAACCAAAGTTTTTGTATAAACAACTTTGCTAAAACAGTCATTGGTGAAAGCCACCCCATCGGATCGAAAATTCTCGCCAAATCAGGTAAAGCTTGCCTTTTTGTTACTAGCTTTTCCGTTGAAAGATTCATATTAAATCCAAACATATCTTTGGCCGGGTCCCATTACCCAATGTCTTAACTGTTTCGTCTTCTGCTATTTTTATTACCTCATTTTCGCTATTTGTTGGAATGGTTGCTATAATCTCACTGTTATTAGACATCCACTTTCTTAAGTGAAATCCATATTTTTGTAGTTGTTTCGAAATTTCGAACTGAATGACCTTACAATCATTTATTGAATCTGCTCCTGTCATTAAATCGTCCACGTAGAAGTCGTTTTTAATGATGTTTGAAAGCAAACAATTGTAAGGCTCGCAGGATTTGGCAATTTCTTGTAAAGTTCTCGTTGCAAGAAAAGGAGCGGATGCTGTTCCATACGTAACTGTTTGCAGTTTGTATTCTCCTATCGGCCCTTCTTTCGCTTCTCTCCACAATATACGTTGATAATCTTGATCACTTTCTGCTACTTTAATTTGTCGATACATCTTTTCAATATCACCTGTTAACACATATTGCCAAAGTCTCCATTTGATAATTATGTCGAATATATCTTTTTGAAGTCTCGGGCCTATTAAAAGGATGTCATTTAAACTACTTCCATTTGTAGTTTTTGCAGATGCATCGAAAACTACTCGTAGTTTAGTTGTGAGACTGCCTTCTCGAATTACGGCTTGATGTGGCAAATAGTATTTTCCGCATGTATTTCCACTTGCTTTTTTCATGTGGCCCATTTCTAAATAGTCTCTCATAAATTGCACATATTGTTTTCTTAGGTTGTCATCTGAAGCCAACTTTTTCTCAAGATTAAGAAACCTCGCCATTGCTTGTTTGCGAGAGTCGCCTAACTCTTTTTCTTTCTTAAAAGGTAGATTGACGACAAATCTATTATTTTCATCTCTTCTTGTCGTTTTATCAAATATCTTCATACATTCATCACCATCTTCTATATATGTTGGTGCTGTGGTGTCTTCTACTTCCCAAAACTTCTCCAACGTTGTGGTCACCGCCGCTAGAATTCTACCATTTTTTCTAGGTTGTTGTAAAACTCCCGACAATATCCATCCTAATTTCGTAGCTTGGCCTAGTATTCGATCTTTCTTAAATATGCCTTCTTCTAATATGTCGGCATATATGTACATCTCTTCCAATAACGACGTCGATTCGATCTGACCTATTGAAGTTGGGATCAGCTAAGGTATAGTTTCTCCATTGTTCTATATCCCATTTAAATGTTTTATCAGGTTGTGCACTCGCCAATTTCGGCAAAATCAGTGCTTCGACATTGTCCACTTCGTTGCTTAGGAATCTCGGCCTGATTTCAATGTTGACTTTAAATTTGGAGACTCCCACTATAGTATTTCCTAGCCCTTGTAGCTCAGTTACTTCTCTTCTCTTTGGTAAGTGTAGTGTTTGAGCGGCTTCTTCAGAAATGGTAGTCTTCTGTGATCCTTGATCGATTAGTGCTCGCAATGTCACGTACTCTCCATTTGCCGCCTTCACTCTTATCTGGGGTGTTGCTAGAAGTATTGCTGTTTCGGAGTTTTTTGTCATCATAGTGGATGATTTTTTTATAGCATTTTCTTCACCTGCTCCTTTTTCCTTCTGGAATTCATTGTAATGCAGTAAATTGCAATTGCCTTCATATACGTGGTCGAGGCAAATATTGCATAGCTTATTGTTTACTATGAAACCTCTACGATTCATCGTAGTCAATGCCTGGAACCTTCTGCATTCAACAATTTGAATCTTGCAATATATACAGGTCTTTTGTGCAGCTGTATAGAATGTGGGTGCTGGTTGTGGCTGCTTTTGATTGCTCCATTTAGTTGTTTTCCTGTCTCGTATAGCTTCTAGAGCTTGATATTGCTGCTCCAGAAAACGGAAAACATCATCTAGGCTTTGGATATCCCTAGTTTTCTTGACATTCTGCTCATATAACCGGAGACTTTCTTTGTCTAGTTTCCGAACAACTATCCGAGCTATAATTGCTTGCTCGTCATTTAAATTCAATTTAAGCCCTTTAAGAGCATAAATGCATTCCTTGGTGGTATCCAAAAGCTGCTTCATGCTTGCCGCACTTTCCCCATTTGCTGTTGGTTGATCAAGAAGTCTGTCCACTTGTGTTGTGAATTGCAGCCTTTTGTTTTCATATCTTTCCTGGAGGATTTGCCAAGCGGCTTCATAGTTGTATTCGGTTACCGGTAAATGCTGAATTAATCTTCCAGCTTCTCCTCCTAATGACGTCTTCAGCCGGAACATCTTTTCTACTTCAGTAAAGTGCTTCGAATTATGCACCAAACCTTGGAAAAGATCGCTAGATGATGACCATTGATTCATCTCGCCATAAAATATCGGAATCTTAATCTCCTGTAGTTTCATAGTAGATGAAACAGCTTGTGTTGGCGTGCACCTTTTCAATTTATCTGTTAACTTCTCAATGTTAACGCTGTATTTTTCTCGGAAGTCCTCCATTTGTTCTTCTATTGAGTCTTTAGTAATGGCTTTTAAATGGACACTGCGAGTTTCAGAAAAAGCTTCTTCTACATATTCAAACTGTATTTGAAGCTTAGTTTTGAATTCTCTTATTTCTTCGACAGAATCCAATTCATTTTGTTGAATTTCTTCTATGGTCATTCTGAGCATTTTTCCTCGACGTTGAAATCTCCTTTCTACGTCGGAATTAGTACCTGATGGCTCGAACTCACTCCTTTCTCCCATCGATTCAGGTTTAAGTTGGTTGCCGCTTACTGTTGGTAAATCTTCGGCTGCATTTTGTATTTTTAAATGCTGAATGGACTTTTCCATTACCTGAATAACATGCTCGTAATACTTCTTGGCAATGTATTCGTCAGCTTCTTGGCTCGGTTTAGCCATAATTTTGGCATGATTTCCATTAAATTCCGTCCTCACTGTTTGAATATGTTGAATATATTCGAGACATGAAGCTTTCCTTATTTTGCCGCTAAGGATTTTCTGTTCTTCCAGCGCAGCAAGATCGCCCAACTCCTTCTGTCTTTTCAGTAAATTTTCCATGTTGATTGATGTTGTTTCTTTTACTGTTGATTTTGATTGTTTTTTGTTGATTTTTGTTTTTTTAGTATTTAAACACTGTACTCGTTGTTTTAGCCACGGGGACGCTTTTTAACGCTTTTCACTTTTCCGCTGTGAGTCACGGAAACGCTTTTCGCTTAGAATTTTAGGCGAATTATATACTTGTTTAAGTATATTTTTTATTATTGCGGACAGTCTTTGCTGTTTCGGCTTATATATATATAATATATATATATTTTTTTTTTGCTAAGTAATGCTCTCCTTTTTTCAGAGACTTATAGTACTTGCGCTTGAGCTCTTTTCTAGGCTCGACTGACCAAATAATAAGACTATTATACTTTTGATCAACTTCACTTCTAACCTCGGGTGGGGGATAGTGAAGATCACAAAAAAACGTAATGTACACCGTGAGATTGCTGTATTTAATCTGACCTCTTTATTGAATATTTCTTTCTTATATACATTTTCTAATACTAATTCCTTAACTACGTATATGTGTGTGTGTGTGTACATGCGTAAATGTGTATTCTTATATATTTATTATCCGATCAGTTCGTAATTTATTCAATTGTATGTTACCCGGCTGGTCTGATCTAAGTATTTTGTGCAAATAAAACTACGTTATTTCACTTTCTGGCCCAACGTTTCGCTAAAACAT